GTTAGTCATATCTGTCAATACAACTTCAAAGCTTTTTAAAAATGCTTTAGGGGAGAAAACTGAATTTTAACTGTTAATCATTTTTTCCTTTATAGCTTATTGCATCTTAAATAATATTTTTGTGAAGGCCTTCCAAATTGTGGGTTAACAAAAAAAAAAAAAAAAAAAAAATCTTTCCTGTTCTATAATTGCACCTTCTCAATGTAGTGACTAATAATTAGAATATTAGGCACTATTCAGAAACTGACAGACAGCTGATTAAGCATTCAGCTGCGTTTTATTTTTCTCTGCTTTCCATGGTTTGTAGGCTAGATCAGGTTCTGTCCTTTATACAGTGCAATTAAAATTTTTATGACTTTATTTCACATAATAGACTCCTGCTCTTATAAAGTACATTTTTTAGCTACTGTAATACCTCTTTGAGCCAATCAGCTGGGTAGCTGCATTTAAACAGTAATGGCATTGTACAGTTTAGCATTTTGTAGTATTGATCTGGCCAAAATGCTCATTAAAAAGCAAAATTAGTTCCTATTCACATTTGTTCTACAGCTTTTCAGTCACTTCATTTAAACGTGTCTGGTTCTTCAACTTAGTTAAATGGTGATCTCTCCTCTTTTCTAAGGGCTAAGAAGAGCAAAATAGAATCTGCTTTCATATTTTATACTCTACTTTGATCTTTTGGATCTATCTGAAGGTAAAGTGCCAAGGCCATGGACTTTGGAAGCACAAGGCCCTGCAGTCAGGTTCTAGCTTGGCTCCCTCTGTGGCTCTCAGCCTGTTTGTCAAGTGAAGATGAAAGGATGGCACTGGGGAGAAGGTGACACCCAGGATGGTGAAGAGTGGGGCAGGCAGCAGATAGTTGGAACCTCTTCCTTCCCTTTCTCTCGAGAACAGCTTGGGCTGCCGCAGCACACAGTATCACAGACTAGTTGGCGTCAAGGGTCGAAAAGTGTTTTTCTCAAGTTTTGGACACTAAAAGTCTAGGAGCAGGGTGCTGACAGGGTTGGTCTCTCCAAGGCCTCTCTGCCTGGCTCACAGACGGCCGCCCCGAGCTGTGTCCTCACAGAGTCTTTCCTCTGTGCACGCACACTCCTGGGGTCTCTCTGTGTGTCCAGCTCTCCTCTTAGTAATCACATTGGATTAGGGCCCATCCAAATGGCCCCATTTTAACTTAATTTCCTTTTTAAAGGCCATATCTCCAAATTGTTTCTGAGGTACTGGGGGTAAGACTTCAATATGTGAATTTTGGGAGGACACAAGTCAGCCCCAAACAGACACTGATCGAGATGCTGCACGTGGCACAGTGCTCTCTCCTGTTCACTCAGTTTGGTTTTTACTCAGCAGTCGAAACAGCTGAAACATCAACAGAAGAACCAGGAAATGGGGTTCTTTGGTTGTGACTTTTCTGGTTAGCTTTTCTGGTTAGGTTAGAATTGATCAGAAATAGTAATATTACCTGCCCCCTTGATTTTTGGTTAGTATTTCTACCTTTTTGGATCTGTTCTATGGCCACTTTTTCCTGATCTTAGAGTCACGAATCTTAGGATTTTAAGACCCTTATCTCCACCCTCCATCATTGCTATAGATGTGTATGCACAAGGTGCAGGAGATAGGGTTGCATGTCCACTTCCGTTTTTAAATGAATTCTGGGGAAGTGTTTGCCTCTGATGCGGCTGGCAGGGACCAGGCTTTGTGGCCAGCGCACAACGGGCAATTAGAATATAATGACACAGACACTGTAGAGAAGATCATTCGTTCATTCAGCTAATCTTTTCTGAGTGCCTACTGTGTGCCACTGTGCTGGTCACTTGGGTTGCAGTGACAGAAATAGGCATTGTCTCTGTTCTTACGAAGCTTACAGTCTGGTGGGGAAATAGACTTTAGTCAGGTCATATCCCGGTTCTACCAGAGCAGCTCCGATAAGTGCAGGAAAGGAAAGGCATGGGCTGCTTTGAGGGTGAGTAATGTTGGGGGTTAGGGAAGGCTTTGCTGGTTGAACTGAGATCTGAAGACAGTGAGACTTGCTTTGAAGAAGGGGTGAGTGATAGGTGCCACAGTGCTGGGGGGGTCATGATTCAGAGTACAGGCAGGAGCATTTCCGAAGAGCAAACTGCATGTGCACAGGCCCTGAGACAGATAGCAGATTAACATGGAAGCCACAGAGAAAGAGCAGTGTGGCCAAAGGAGAGAGCGAGCGTGGGGCATGCAGGGTGACACAGCTGGAAAGTCCTCTGGAAAGGCTGGGGGAGTTAGAAAAGACTTCCCAAGGAGGTGACATCTGTGTCTTTAAGGATAGAACTGATTTCTTCTGATAGAGAGGAGGGAGAGGCATCTTTAGCTAGGATATCAGTATTTTGGTGTGTTCAAGAAATAATGAGAAGTTCATTGTGGCTGAAATGTCACTTATGTGAAGGAACCCATCATTCTAGTTAATGGAAGTTCATACTTCACTGGGTTCTAGCTAACTGGGGGCTCACTAAATTTTCCAAATTGGGATGTATCTGCCTCTAACTATGGAGGGGCTTATTACATAGAGAATGAATGAATGAACACATGAGTGCTGCATCCCTGCATGGGTAGTGTTGATTGGCATTCCAGGATTGCTGTAACCTTGCAAGCGATGATACATTAGTGTTTCATCTGTTCAGGTCTGGTGGATTGAAGGAAGGCAGGCCACATTGACATCTCAGGCCCAGCTGGCTCTTCAGCCACTGTTTTCTCCTCCTCCACAGATCTGGCCTGGGGTGGGGCGGGGGTGGGGGTGCTTAATCCTGCTTGGTGGCCTAGTTGCCTTAACCATTTTCAACTCAAGGCAGAGGGGACCCGAAAGAGCTCCAGCCCTGTGATCTGGGTCAGCAGTTACTGTTAGGCTGACCTGGGTCATGGTGGCGGAGTTCTGGAAAACAGAGTTCAGATGTTCACATAAGCTGAGCATGTTCCAGACATGATGGGAGCCTGGACTGGGTGGAAGGTGCCCGTCCTGTTTGCAGGGGAGGAAGGGGAGGAAAAGCTGAAACATGAGTTTGGGAGCACATTAGAGAAGACTCTCTGGCAGCTGTATCACTGATGGAAGGTTCTGTATGTTATTTGCTTTTGGCTCAGACGTGAATTCTTATTTCTTTCCCCAAAGAAGCTAAAATCAGATAAAAGATTTAAAATTGGAGCTTAGAATGATATGTTTCTCCTGCTTTTAACAATTCATTTAATTAAACAAATAAACAGGGCCACTTGCTGGCTGCTGCTAGCAACAAATTAAATGAATTGTTAAAAAGTGTAGAGGTAGAAAGTATCTATACTTCAGAGATTTTCATAAATGCAAGGAATATTCTTCAATCTTAAAAACTTTTCTTTCTATGTGAACATTGGCACATGTTCTACCATCTTATAAGTATGATGGTAGCTTGGGAGGGAACTTTTGTCAGCCAGCTTCCAAGATTATGGAAACTGTCCTTCGGTGTCCCAAAAGACGGGGACACCGAAGGTGATTATAAAATGAGGGTATAGATTAATTTGTGAATAATGGGAAAGCTGTGTAAAACAACACCCAAAGGATGTCTCACTTGGTCAACGTGGGCTTGATAATCTATGCCCAATTAAGTGCTATCAGTTTTTCTAGGCCCCACAGAGAAATGTACAAACATATGAGACAGTCTTATCAACATTGGTCACATGTATGCAACTATACCTCTGTTAAATTTGACTCACTTTTAGGGGATTCAGGAAACATTATTGTGCACCAATTGTCATTTCAGTGAGCACAAGGGTTGGGATAAAAATAGGATCACACATTTCCCCCTTGAGTTTCATATAAATAGTGGAGAAGAAATTACATGGATATAGAAACGGAGCTCATATTAAAAATCCTACACCATGCTGCATCTCACAGCTTTGTAGATGATTCCTGGACCCTACCAGCCTGTTTCAAATTGCACATCTCATATGACTATTCTTATTTTGTGCTTGTAGATACTTTTCATTGTAGTTCCATTTTACCTGTAGCTGGGGGTAACAGCTGCCTCCCTTAGAGAGCTCCCTGGCTTCAAGCAGGGGCAGCTCACTGGCCAGACGGGAGGGGAGAGCATTGATATGGCAGAATAAGGGAACTCTTGAATTTATTTATTTATTTTTTGAGACAGAGACTTGCTCTGTTGTGCAGTGGCGCGATCTCGGCTCACTGCAATCTCTGCCTCCCAAGTTCAAACATTTCTTCAGCCTCAGCCTCCCGAGTAGCTGAGATTACAGGCACGTGCTACCATGCTTGGCTAATTTTTGTATTTTTGGTGGAGACGGTGTTTCGCCGTGTTGGCCAGGCTGATCTCAAACTCCTGACCTCAAGTGATCCACCGCCCACCCCCACCATCCGGGCCTCCCAAAGTGCTGGGATTACAGGTGTGAGCCACCATGCCCAGTGGAACCCCTGGATTTCATGGGTAGGGTTAATATCTGGACCTAGGGTTTAGTTTTGGAAAATACTGGGCTTAGGGTTTAGTTTCTTAGCATCGTCTAAAGAGATTGAAAAGAGAGTAGCAGGGCAGAGCTGAGCAAATCTCCCATTTGTGGTGGGCTTCCCAGCTTAGCTAGGCCTTCATTTCTTATGTAGGGGCATTTTGTTGTTGTAGCTATTTATCTGGTAAGATCATCTGCTATGTGAAAGTTTTATGTTTTGTGTCTAATACATGAGCATCCCCTGCGGGAACAGATCCCCTGCTGTTTTTGAAGGATATGCTGCTGATGACTCTGTGTGTGTGTGTGTGTGTGTGTGTGTGTGTGTGTGTGTGTGTATTTTAACCTCAAATGACAGGGTAATGTGTACATTATGGATTGAATAAAAACTTGAAGAATGTTAATATGGAAGATTAGAATTTGTAATGAAATACAAGGTCATTTGCCATAGAATACTGTAGCTTTCACATTTTTACTTTAAAAATTCCAGTTTACAAGAAACTTTCAAATATAAATAATTGGGAATGTTAGATCCTTGGTAAAAAAATATTCTTTTTGTGCTCCTCTTGGCAGCACATATGCAAAAACAGGAAAGATACAGAGAAGATGAGCATGGCCCTATGCAGGGATGACACGCAAATTTACAAATCATTTTATACTTTTATCTCTATGAAAAGCTTGAAATGTCATTTACCACTTTTCTGGCTGAGGTGGACCAGACATTTTCAGATTTGCCTGTTTTCCCTGTCCTATTTTTGTTGTAGTTTTTTTTTTTTTTTTTTGAATACTGCATTGGTGTTCATAGAAAATAAACTTGGGTAAACCAGAATTCCGTGAGTTTTGTCAGACTTTAATTGTGTTGTATTGCTCTCTTTTTAAACAAGTTAATTCTGAAAAATAATTTAGCGACCTCCCAGTTGTAATTTCTAAATGGCAGTTTGTGTCTGTATATCTCTTCAAGTTAAGCATTTGCTTAAAAGATATTGTTGATGATGTGATGAATGCAGTTTCATGAAACTTGGCAGTTCCCATAAATAATTGAATAACATAAGTTGTACTTACCTCTGTAGTGTCTAGACTACAGAATTACCATGAGTTTATAAAAATCCAGGTTACTGTCTAGACAAATAGAATAGTATTTAAAAATTGTGTTTTCCATGAGATAATGATGAGATTTTTAGCATATAGTATTGGGCCAAGTGGGTGGCTATCCAGAGAAAGGTGAGGTTGGTTCCATATCTCATACCATTCAGATAAATTCCAACTTGATCAGTTAATTTTATATGATTACCAGTGTCGTATTCAAAAGAGTTATGACAAAGAAAGAAGGGAGGGAGAAACGAGAAAGGCAATACAGCAAACGACTAGTCTACCTCAGTTGGAAAAAGCAAAAAATGATATTTTTAAGATGGATTTCAAGATACAAATACATATTTGTGTCTGCATAAAATGCTGAGAAACTAGAAGACATTCCTTTATAACCTTGAGGTAAAAAGGGCTTTTTAGCCCTTTTTAAAAATCCAGCAGCCATTAAAAAAAAATTGATAATAAACATTTATAGAACTTTCCACCTCAAATCCACAAAACATACATTCTTATCAGTACCACATCACACCTACTCTAAAAGTGACTACATAATTGGAAGTAAATCACTACTCAGTAATTGCATAGCATTTCACAGGTTTAAATGAAATATTGGTTGGCTGCTTGTTTGTTATTTTCCTCCCTTATTCCTTCCTATTTCCATTGTTAAGCACAATTATTGGCATAAAAGAGGTTTTCCATACCCATTTTTAGACTGCATTCTAGCCTGGGCAATAAAGCAAGACTCCTGTTCTCTCTCCCTCTTTCTCTTCCTCTTTCTTTCTCTCTTTCATTCTTTTCTTTCTTTCTTTTTTTATCTCTTTTTTCCCCAAAAAACAAAACAAAACAAAATTGATAAATTTGACTAAATTCAAATATTGTATAAGTGATTTAAAAAAATGCCATAAGCAAATTCAAAAGACAAATGACAGAGAAGAAACTATTTGAAATGAACAAAGAGTTAACCTCTATATAAAGAGCTTCTACAAATGAATAAGAAAGTGACATGAAGGCCAAGGTGGACAGATCATTTGAGGTCAGGAGTTTGAGACCAGCCTGGACAACATGGTGAAACCCTGTCTCTACTAAAAATACAAAAAGTAGCTGGGCATGGTAGTGCACGCCTGTAATCCCAGCTACATGGGAGGCTGAGGCAGGAGAATCGCTTGAACCTGGGAGGCAAAGGTTGCAGTGAGCCAAGATTGCGCCACTGCATTCCAACTTGAGCAACAAAGCAAGACTCCATCTCAAAAAAGAAAAAAGAAAAGAAAATGTCTTGGAATACCAATAGCCTAGGCAAAGTATATGAACAGATTATCCTCAGAATAAGAAATACATTGTCTTGGCTGGGAATGGTTGATCACACCTGTAATCCCAGCACTTTGGGAGGCTGAGGCGGGTGGATCAATCATGAGGTCAGGAGTTTGAGACCAGCCTGGCCAACATGATGAAACCCCATCTCTACTAAAGATACAAAGAATTAGCTGGGCATGGTGGTGTGCGCCTATAATCTTATCTACTCAGGAGGCTGAGGCAGGAGAATTGCTTGAACCCGGGAGGTGGAGGTTGTGGTGAGCTGAGATTGCGCCATTACACTCCAGCCTGGGTGATGGGGTGAGACTCCATCTCAAAATAGTAAAAAAATATATATTGTCTTCAAACCTACAAAAAGATCTTCAGATAAGGTAATAACATAATAAGAGAAAGACAAACTGTGTTGAAGTAGTACTTTTAACTTTATCAGATTGGCAAAAATTCTGTGTGAATTTAGACGTTGTTCGACATTGTTGACCACTTGTGGAAACATCAGCACTGTAGTACAGAGTGGCATAACCCTTATGAGGGCCAGTTCGGTCTGTTTTCCTCTATCAAGATTACAAATATACTTTGACCCAGCAGTCTGGCTCTGGCCATTTCTCCTGGAGATGCATCTGAATGTGTATGCAATGACGTATAGAGTAGGTGTTTCATTAGACTATTGTTTGTAATAGAAAAGACTGGAAGCAATTCAAGTACCCATTGGCGAAAGACTGGTTAAATAAACTATGATCCACCTTTACAATGGAATATTGTGCAGCATTTTAAAGAGAGCATGGAAACTCTTCATACACTCATAGGGGAAGATCTCCAAGATACGATATTAAATGAAAAAAAAAAAAAACAAGGTATAGAACCATATATAGTATACTCTCTTTGATGTAGAAAGGAGACAAAATGGGAGTCTATAGTCATATCTGCCTGATCAATGAAGAAACATTGAAAGGATAAACAAAAGGAGCTCGATAAAGGTGGTTACTTTAGTGGGTGGGAGGGGTGGGGGGTTGCGTGGATAAGGATGTGGTCAGCAGGAAGAGGTGGGGGCAGTGCTCTCCATTGTGTACTCCATTGCATTATTTTTGTATTTGAAGCCTGTAAAGTATTACCTATTCAAAACAAAAAATAAGTTACATGTCTTTACAGTTGTATTTCAGTGCCAGTTCAACGTATGTCCAAGGGCCAGAAATACCTTCCCAGAGCTTTGTCATTTCTTGGTGGTACTGTTGAGTGCAGCCTCCTAAGTGGGTCTTCTATTAGCTGTAGTGGTTTATCTACAGCTGTGCTCTCCATTGTGGTAGTCACTGGCCACATCTGGCTTTTGAGCACTTGAAATGTGGCTAGCCTAAATTGAGATGTGTCATACGTGTGCCTGATTGAGAAGACTTAGTTAGTATAAAAGAATATAAGCTATCTCATTTATAATTTAAACAATCTTGATTACATGTTGAATGATAGTAGTTTGGGTTTGAGGGGTTAAAGCATATTATTAAATTAATTTCCCTTGTCTTTTCTTACCTTAAATGTAGCTGCTAGAAAATTTAAAATTACATATGTGGCTTGGCCCTGTGGTTGGCATTTAACTTCTTTTGTGCAGCCCTGATGTAGGCTCCTGTCCACAGTCAGCATGTCTGCCAGAATTACTTGAAAACAACAGAACCTAGATGTGTCATTTCACCGCTTTAAAACCTCTTGCCTCCTACATGCCTGTAAAGACCCTTTATAAATAGTGTCTGAGATCCTTTCTTCCCCCATGCCTCACTTCCCTGCACATACAAACACTGCTTCTCTTTACTCCCTGGACTGCAGGCCACTTCATAAATTTGAGTCTCTGAACACACTGTTCTTTCTGTTTAGAATGTTCTTTCACTTCCATTTTGTTGCCTGGAAAATTCGTACTCATCCTGTAAGCATCGTTCATGTGGCCCCTTTTTTGATGAAGCGTCCCTATTTGCCCATCCTATTTTCTTACAGCATCTGGTAGACCTCTGTGTTCTCACACTCATCCTCAGTACCATGGTTGTCCTTTGAAAGATATTGTCTCCCTCACCAGACTGGGAGCTCCTCAAGGGCAAAGCCCATGCCATGTTTCTTTTTGTATTCTCAGACCTGAAACTGGCAATAAATAAACCCTAAAAGTAAAAAAAACCCTAAAAAGAAGTTGGTTGTATTTGGTTGAGAGTACACCATGCCCAGTTTGCCTTGCTGATGCTTCTGTTTGTCTGATCTATATGTTGAGGAAAGCAGGCTCCAACCTGTCAGTCTTCCTTGATTAAGAATAGGTCTCTTTGGAATGCTCTAGCTTTGAACAGGCCAGCCTCCCTACAAGCAGAAGATTACAAACTGCAGAGATGTCAATAGCACCAAACCCGCAGTGAGTTCTAGTTTTCGGGGCTATGTTGAGACTGTAAGATGGAATTATCTGTGTTCTGTTCAGAGAGCAGAACTCTCCAGGCTGGCAAGGTGCCTGTGTTTGCAGAAGGTAAAGGTAGCAGGTGGCTGCCAGAAGGTGAAAGCATCGGTGGAGCCTGTCCAGCTCCAGGGAGGCAGTGAGCTAGAATAATGAAGTTCCCCACAGTCTGATCTGTGGGAACCTACTTCAGTTACCACCTATGTGGAAAGTTGTTCTTGCTTCTTAATATTCCCCTTGTCCTTCTCTTCTGTTGCGTTAAGCTTTTGTTCTAAAGAGAAATGAAGAATAATAAACAATATCCAAGATACGTGGAGCAAAGATTTTTGGAAGGAAAAATTGGAATTTTGCAAGAAACTTCTCTCCTTAGCAAAGTAGACTGAAAGGACCTGTGTTTGCCCCAAGATTTTAGAAGCATTATTACCAGTGTTCAGCATCTATTTATTTCTTATCTAGAGATCCAGCTCCTTTCATCAGGCAAAGCTTCCTGTGCAGCTGTAATAATCAGCTGAATGAGGAGCCCTTTCTTTAGCAAAATTTTGAGAGCTAGTAGTGTAGTAGAAAGGGCAGTGTCTTCCATGGCTAGAAAAACCAATCTGAACCTAGGACTATCACTACCTAGTAGTGTGGACTTAGCAAGTTACTTCCCGTCTCTCAGCCTCATTATTTAGTAAAATGAGGCTATAAACACCTCCTGGGTTATAGGCATTACAAGAGGTGAATGAATGCAGAGCCTAGCCCTGTGCCTGGTCTATAGTAGGTTCTGGTAAATAGGAGATATAGCTCCACTATGAATATAGATTTTCTTTTGCAGCTGTCTGGTGTTGAATCACCAGGTGTGCATGCCCAAGGCCAG